ATATATCTTATATTATATTTACTTTATATTATCTTTATTATACTATTGTATATTCATATACAATGCAACAATCAAGTTTGTAATTATTTGTTAATATTTTAATTAAATTGCAAGGATTAACTAAAGATTAAGTTAAAATTAAATCTCAGAATTTTGTTAAGAACCAAACAGCTGATATTTCATTAGATTGATTGTTAAATTTAATAAACATGTATGTATATTGTGTTTTGCTATACTATTTGACCGATATTAATTTTCTCTCTTTATTCATATAAGTAATCGCATGAAAATTAGATTGTTTATTGACACTATTATGTGTTATTGAGATACATGTATTTAGAGATGTAATATTTCGGTGATCGGTGAGACACACACAGTCTTCGACATTAAATATTTTTAAGTCTGTCAAAGTTAAATGGATGATAAGATAGACTACAGCGTGTAATTCAATTGACATCGTTTGAACATAATTGAATATTTCGGCGCGTGTTCTTACAAATCTCTTTCGATAATGCAGAAATAAGGTTTTCGAAAGACGGAAACTTTTTATCGAACGGCTAATATGATTTTTCGCGAAACTCGAGAGCGATATAATTTTCTTATCCACAAAGATAAATTGAAGGCATACATATTTCGTTCTTTCGCAATTGTGTGAAATTGCGCTTGTTCGAATCAACGATCTCTTAATCTCCGAGTAATTAGTATTATTCGGAAAATCCGGTTCGCCAGAAAATTAGCATTCCAAATTCTCGATTGACGAATTGTAAACAGTATTTTCAACGAACTGTGCTTCTTCTTCGCAGCAAAAGTTTGCTTGATATAGAAGAGAAGAATATGCTAACAGATATATTATCAGAATTTAAAAGAGCGCGCAGAGACAGAGACATTGTGTTTATCGTGTGGATATTATTTTTTTCGCTTTTAATGTAATCTGACGAAATCTTGAAACCTCTTCGGAGAACGATCAAGGCTGTATTAATGAGATACCTGTTATAAATTAATCGCGCAACCGGTTATCAATGTATAATTATCGTCGTCGCGCCCTATCCATCGTGCATGTGCGTGTTTCTGTGTATATACGCTCTATCGACCGGATGACAATGTCTATTGTCACACACTGAATCCGGTAATGAAGCATGTTGCCATATATGCATATAGGTGAGAGAATAAGGAGAGAGAGAGAGGAGGACGAAGAGAAATATATATCGATGCAGCACATCATACCACGATATTAATTTCCAAGACGCGGTGGAATGTGTACTGCGAGACGTTACGTGCAATTTATGTAACGAAATGTGTATGTTACACATATTTGCACTGTCCAAACATATGCATTAAGATGCTGGAGAGATGATCTTATATTTTGAGAGATGATCATATTTTATGAAATGTTTGCAGAAAATATATAGAAAATTATTGAATAACGTTTATCTTACTTCGAAACTTTTGATTTACTATTTATAATTTTTAAATATAAAAATTGATAATATTGCGAAGAAAAAAAAACGAATACTATATCTAACTCACACATATACACATACACAATGAAAAAATGCGAAGAAATGAAGAGAAAGATCTCTACTTTCTCGCAATTGCCGCAATCATCAATTCCGCTTCTCTCTCTTTTCGCCGCTGCTATATAAGTATAATTAATAGAATCGTCAATTGTGGAGCGATGACATGACGTCAATTGCGTGCAAGCAAAAGATGCTACTCGTCAAGGATTTGCCGCTGACTAATATATCTTATTCTTTCTCGATATATATACTATTTTCCTTCAACGTGCTCGCTGACGTTGAACGTGTCGAAATGAGATTGCGTCTGCTTTTACGAGGGTCCTTCCTCGTAATACCAAATTAACTTCTGTGTCCACGTCACAAAGCACACGTTACTTTAGATTAAAATAATACCTATAGATATGGCGTGTATGGATAGCTCGCGTTTTGTAAACATAGTTTATTTAATTTTTCAATTATACTATAAAGAATCGGATCTAAAAGTGGATAATCATAATATTGCCGAAAAAAGATAAAATAATTTCTGATCTGAGCGTAACGCTTAAAAAGACATTTACATTAAATACTTACGTTATAGTATTCTATCGAATTGTTATAAAATATGGACGAAGAAAAACAGATGAAAAGAGAAACAAACAATTTTTCTCGTGCAACGTGTCCTAATTTATAATTATTATTCGAAAGAAAATATTTTTCTTGCCTATTGAATGTCAATCACATTCGACATTGATTTCATCGTTGTGTATTACAATTAATAAATCTGTTTGTTTAGCATAGTTGAGAATTGACATCGACATTTATGCGACAAATTTATTATAACTTGAAAATTAGTTTAATTTTGAGTCTATTTAAAGATATTAAGCTAAATTTATTATTATTATTATTTGAAAGATTACATGCAATTCGATAATTGTTTTACATTTTACGATTTTTATGCAGATTTAATGTCAATATGCCGCAAAACAATATTTTTTCAAAGAAGTATTTGTATGATAAAATAATACCGAAATTTGTTCATGAAAATAAATTTTGCGAATTTTGTTATACATTTTCTTCAAATTTTATTTAAATTTTATTTTCCTGCGCATTACGCGAGATTATTAATATTTCATTAATTTTTTGCTTATAGGAAAATCCATCTGGCAACTCGTTCTGGAACAGTTCGATGATCTTCTAGTTAAGATTCTTCTATTAGCCGCTATTATTTCTTTTGTAAGTATAAAATGCAATAGAGAGTACGCTATTATATAAATATATCTTTTATAGTATAAGATCTAAATAATATAAAAAACAAATACATCTTTCAAAAAGAAATAAAAAATATAAAGTATAATACAAAAAAGATTAAATAAATATGGTCATCATTATTATTACGGATTATCAGGAAAAAGTCATAGACGACCTAATCTTCCATGAAACCTATGATAACATGAAATAAGTTAGAAATTTTCTTTGTCAAATTTTCTGGTGTATGCCGCGTTGCTAAAAACATTATAATTATATGTTTACCGGGGTTCAAGGGTAAATGAGGCTAAATATATCTTCTACGAGAAGTGAAAAAATAGCATATTGATTTCAAGTAGCCGTGGTGATCTGATTTTCTCTTGGCGCATAAGAGAAATGTATAATATTTATTATGGAATTTAATTTGCAAATTGTAAAACTAAAGTACATGTAAGTCAGTTTATCGCCATAATAAATTTGAGAAGAAAATTTTAGCGGAACATGTACGCTTTAAGCAACTTATCCTTAATTTTATATATAATATATATATATTCTTGTTATTATTTTCTAAGATGTATTAACTGATATTACTGCAAAGTGAATATGATAAGATCGAATTTCTTATATCTTTTTATGAATTTTTGAAATTCATTTTTTACAAGTTCCAAATCTAAACTTTATTTCGAAAAGGATCGTTCAATAGCCAACTGAATAACACAAATTTAACATATTAAATTTCTGTCTGCCTTTTTTTTCTTTCAAACCTTGCTAATTTGCTATTGGCTACCTATTGTTCTTCAGGTATTAGCCTTATTTGAAGAGCACGAGGATGCGTTCACGGCCTTCGTCGAACCCTTCGTTATCCTGCTCATTCTCATCGCCAATGCCGTAGTCGGCGTCTGGCAGGAACGGAACGCCGAGTCTGCGATAGAGGCGCTCAAGGAATATGAGCCAGAAATGGGTAAAGTTGTACGATCGGACAAAGCCGGCGTCCAGAGGATCCGGGCCAAAGAGATCGTGCCTGGTGACATCGTGGAAGTATCGGTCGGCGACAAGATCCCGGCGGACATCCGTCTTACCAAAATCTTCTCGACCACTCTTAGGATTGATCAATCTATTCTGACCGGTGAATCGGTGTCTGTTATTAAGCACACCGATCCCGTGCCCGACCCACGCGCCGTCAATCAGGTTGGTAAAGTTATAGCTGTATAAATATTACCACTAAAATTAAAAGCACTATACGCAATTTGTATCAATATCTATGAAAAAGTTTTAAAGTTTTATTTATGACATTTATGTGTGCATCATGATTACTCAATTATACATTTAATTTGTATTATGGTGAGTTCCTCAGAATTTTTATTAAGTTTCTTTTGTCGATATTGTGTTTTTCTAGGACAAGAAGAACATCTTGTTCTCTGGTACTAACGTTGCCGCTGGCAAGGCCCGCGGTGTCGTCATTGGAACTGGCTTGAACACGGCCATCGGTAAGATTCGTACAGAGATGTCGGAGACCGAGGAGATCAAGACACCATTGCAGCAAAAATTGGATGAGTTCGGCGAACAGTTGTCAAAGGTTATCTCGGTGATTTGCGTCGCCGTGTGGGCCATCAACATCGGCCACTTTAACGATCCGGCTCACGGTGGATCCTGGATCAAGGGTGCCATCTACTATTTCAAGATCGCCGTCGCTCTCGCTGTAGCCGCTATTCCTGAGGGTTTGCCCGCCGTTATCACGACTTGCTTGGCTCTGGGTACCAGGCGTATGGCCAAGAAGAACGCTATTGTACGATCCTTGCCGTCTGTAGAAACTTTGGGTTGCACGTCCGTCATCTGCTCTGACAAAACTGGCACTCTGACGACTAACCAGATGTCCGTTAGCCGGTAAGATAATTTCTTTTTTTCCCGTTACTTAAATTAAATACAAAATACTAGCTAGCTAACGCATAATTTTTTATATATTTGCAGAATGTTTATCTTTGAGAAGATCGATGGTAATGACAGCAGCTTCCACGAATTTGAGATCACCGGATCGACTTACGAACCCATCGGTGAAATCTTCTTGAGGGGACAGAAGATCAAGGGACAGGATTATGAGACTTTGCATGAGATCGGTACCATCTGCATCATGTGCAACGACTCCGCTATCGATTTTAACGAGTTCAAACAAGCATTTGAGAAGGTTGGCGAGGCCACAGAGACCGCCCTAATCGTTCTCGCCGAGAAGGTCAATCCGTTCGGTGTGCCGAAGAGTGGCCTGGATCGCCGAACTGGCGCCATTGTCGTCAGGCAAGATATCGAGACGAAGTGGAAGAAGGAATTCACACTAGAATTCTCACGCGATCGCAAGTCCATGTCGTCGTATTGCGTGCCTCTGAAACCAACAAAGCTGGGAAACGGACCGAAACTATTCGTCAAGGGTGCGCCAGAGGGTGTGCTAGACAGGTGCACGCACTGCCGCGTCGGTGGTCAGAAGGTGCCACTTACTTCAACTCTGAAGAACCGCATTTTGGACCTGACCCGGCAATACGGAACTGGTAGAGATACCCTACGCTGTCTCGCTCTCGCCACTGCCGATCATCCGATGAAGCCCGACGAGATGGATCTCGGCGATTCTACCAAGTTCTATACATACGAAAGGGATCTCACGTTCATCGGCGTAGTAGGTATGCTTGATCCGCCTCGCAAGGAAGTATTCGATTCGATTGTTAGGTGCCGCGCCGCCGGTATCCGCGTAATCGTCATCACCGGCGACAATAAGGCCACTGCTGAAGCTATTTGCCGACGTATCGGAGTCTTTGGAGAGGATGAAGACACCACTGGCAAATCATACTCTGGACGTGAATTCGATGATTTGCCGATATCGGAGCAGAAAGCTGCTTGCGCTAGAGCTCGTCTCTTTTCTCGTGTAGAACCGGCTCACAAGTCCAAGATCGTTGAATACCTACAAAGCATGAACGAGATTTCTGCCATGGTAAGTCTTGAAGTTTCAGGAAATCTTACTTTAATTATTTCAAGGTGGATTGTTATTATCCTTAAATTAATAATGTAAATATACATTTTTATATCTTTAGCCAATATTTTTATCATTCAATAAAATGTTCTCTTAGAAGATTGCAAAGTAATTTTGCATCAATTCGCAGACTGGTGACGGTGTAAACGACGCTCCCGCCTTGAAGAAAGCCGAGATTGGTATCGCCATGGGTTCTGGCACTGCGGTCGCGAAATCTGCTTCGGAGATGGTGTTGGCAGACGACAACTTCTCCTCCATTGTAGCCGCCGTAGAAGAGGGCCGTGCCATTTATAATAATATGAAACAATTTATTCGTTATCTTATTTCTTCCAATATCGGCGAAGTCGTCAGGTACGAGATATACAAGTATACAGTGAGAAAGATTACAATGAGAGTCGAATTTACTTGGTATTTTCACGTTATTTTGCAGTATATTCTTGACTGCTGCCCTTGGTCTTCCTGAAGCTCTGATCCCGGTCCAACTTTTATGGGTCAACTTGGTTACTGATGGTCTTCCAGCTACCGCTCTCGGTTTCAATCCACCTGATTTGGACATTATGAGCAAGGTAAAGTCAAAGAGTGCTATAATAAATGATATGCGCGGCCGTATTGTCGAACACTATATCTAATACTGTGCGTTCTTTGTAGCCCCCTCGCAAAGCTGATGAATCACTTATTTCCGGATGGCTGTTTTTCCGCTATTTGGCTATTGGTGGATATGTAGGCGCTGCCACTGTCGGTTCGGCTGCTTGGTGGTTCATGTATAGTCCGAATGGTCCTCAACTGAACTATTATCAAGTTGTAAGTTTCGACTAAAATTTGTTCACCGCTATAATTATATTCGTTATTATTTGATAATTATCGGAATCAAGTTTTTTTCAAATTTAATGTAATTTTACTTATTTACACAAAATATAGACTCATCACTTGGCGTGCATTGGTGGTGGAGAGGAATTCAAGGGTATTAACTGTAAGATCTTCTCTGACCCTCACCCCATGACTATGGCTCTCTCTGTGTTAGTCACTATTGAAATGTTAAACGCCATGAACAGGTGAGAAAAAATTTGTTACGTAATTTCTGTAAGAATCATGTTTTTTTCAGGGTTATAATAAAATCTATATTCTTTTATAGCTTGTCTGAGAATCAATCGCTCATCAGTATGCCGCCTTGGTCCAATTTGTGGCTCATCGCCTCCATGGCTCTTTCTTTCACACTCCATTTTGTCATCTTGTATGTCGATGTTCTTTCGGTAAGTACATATCAAGATTGCAACAGCGCATGGCCGAGAAGTCTTAGTCTTCCAGCAGCTCAGAATGCGTAAATCAGCACATAAACCTCAAGAATTCGAAAAATCGTTAACTCTATTGTTTCAGTCCGTATTCCAAGTGACCCCGTTGACGTGTGAAGAATGGCTTACCGTTATGAAGTTCTCCATTCCAGTGGTACTTCTCGACGAAACCTTGAAGTTCATTGCCAGAAAATTCACAGACGGTGAGAATCCAATTTACACCGTGCATTGGATCGTTCTAATGTGGGCTGTGTTCTTTGGACTGTTGCATATTTGTCCCATATAGAACGTCCGCGAAATAATAATAATATTAATCTAGCAGATGATGTTTTTTTCCTATGGAAAAGCATCCGCGATTATAAAATTGGACTCGCAATTGCATTTAACCGAAGCTCTTCCCACCGTGACGCGGGAAGGCGCGAGATAAGTTATTAACAGAGTGCGTTCAAGTGAGATTTTAACAAATTTGACTGTTGTGCATGGTGTTAGTACAACCATATGTATATGAGATACGCCACCAAGGCCCATCATGCCCGCATCACACACCGTACCCTGACGTCGTTCAACGATCACGGGTTTCGAGTGGCATCGAGTGATCCATAAGAAAGAACCCCAGCGTAAATCAAAGATTGTGATCGTTAAATTATTTTCTACGAGTGCCTTTTGAACATTGAATTTCCTCTGCAACCAATACGAAATTGTTCGTAGATGTTCTTTCCGATAGATGTGTTTGAAACGTCCCAATCCTTGTTCTGTGTACTATTATTTTTGTACCTTTTTTTTTTTTTTTTTTTTTTTTTTCTTGAGCACTCTTCGGTTAGCAATGGATAAATTGTGGCACCAGTCCTATAGTGCACCAATGCAGTTAAAACTCATGTTGATTCATTGCACGCATTTCTCCATCTGCGTTTTTCGCCGATATTAATAATGTTATAACATAAACTTTTATATCTGTGCATGTTCGCGGAGTGTATAATTAATCTTCATCGATTTGGAAAGTACAAAATACAGCATGTTATAATCGTACCGGGAATAATAACTTCGGTTTTCAGCGCAGATGATACATTCGTGACATGAGCAGAGGCATTTCTATTAAAGTAATAGGCGCGTTTACACAACGAAGACAATAAAACACTCGGCAGAAACGCGGATGGAAAGAACAATTCCTATAGTAGTTATATTATATAGTGGCTATATTATATTTGACTACCTTTTCCTCTGATTTTTATTTTCAGATTGAGTTTAATGCACCACGCATGCATTAAATTAGCATAATATTTGGTTTACGCGATTAACATATACGTTTCATAAATTCTCCGCTTACACTTCTTTTATGTTGCTTTTGATGTTGCTTGTTATAAATCGCATTTATTGATGGATTCTTAGTGTCTGGTGTTCCTGTTTCGACCCCGAAATCAGAACCGAAGCTGTCTGAGCGTTTGCCGAAATTTCAAGGGAATACAAGAACTTCGCACTAACGGATCTCATTTTGTGTTCTGCATACCGTGTCTTCCTTCCTGTAGAGATAATCCATGCACGGTACTAACAGCACGTGTTTGTAAGATCCTCTCTTGTTGTAATCTATTCCTTTTAATTATTATGTATCCTATTGTGCCATGCGATTAACGAACGATTCAATTTCGCGCATCCTTCAGAGAATATGCGCGCTCAGTATATATATTGTTAATTCATTTAAGTAGAGAACAGAAGACTTGGTTTTCAATGTCTTTATGAATTAACTTTCCATCAAGATCGTCGAGTCGTATATTATGCTAATTTTTCTTTCTACAAGCGCGATAAATCGTGAAATGAAATTTTGTAAATATTAACATCTCTAACCAATCGTAATCGGCACAGTAGGATTTCTTCTCATTTCTCATTCTGGTTTGCGATAGCGTCTGTCTCTTATGTGTATAACGTATTATATATATGCATATATATACATACATACATACATACATACATATATATATATATATACATATATATATGTGTATGTGATTTATGTATTTGAAAGATTTATGCAGTACAACATAGATTCGCGTATCGCTAATTTCCGGATATGAACTGCAGAGATTCGTAAGTGTAGAATAAGGCAACCGTCAAGCAGAGGAATCATATAATTAATCTCATTATTTTTTTCAAAACACAGTCCATAGATTTTCTAGTACATTTGTTCATATACATTATTATCGGAGCAGTGTTCCAAACATGAACATATTCAATGTCAGGATCGACTATCCATTTTCATTAATAGTGATATCATTATGTTGCTCGTAGAATTAATAAAACGACGTAGAATTTTTTTAAATAAATTCATCATTGATAATAAAATAATTAGCTAGACGCATATATCATTGTTTTCCGTCTCTACTCCCGAAAAGCTTTTTGCATTTTTATTTTAAGCACGTGCATATTAAACTTACGACATCCTTAATCGCAAAATTCTGATTTTAATGAAATTTTATGAATATATAGAGGAGGCTAATACAAATGAATTTAATAATTTTTGACTAATACACAGAAAATTGCTTTAGGATTGAAGATTCTCAAAAGAATTATTGTTTTCTACTAATATATAATAAATTAGTTTATAGATTATTTAAAATGTTAAAATAATATATTCAATTTGAAACATACAATTTAATTTGACAAAATGGATCAATATAAAAGAAATCGGTTTTTTATTGTTACTGAAGAAGATTGCTTCAGGAATGATATATTATTTATTACAGCTATTTTTTGGCGGAAAAAAAAGTTTTTTCTGGTGGCTCCCTTCTCTATGTATATACAAAATTTTATTAAGGATCATCGCTGAGTCTGCTTCATTGAACTGTGATATAGTTTCATTGACGAAAATTTATTTGTTGGAATTTAAATTACGGATGGAGCTTCCCATTTATTTTCTCGTTTATAACATAATTTCAAACGATCAATATGCAGACATCGCCGATCCTCAGAACTTTTGCATTAGGAAAAACAATCTCTGATTATTATTGAAAATATTTTTCGATTGAGTGAACAAACGAGTTCGGTCACTGCCTTAGCTACACGCGCCACACATGAAACGAATAATCGGTGTCGTCACGAGTACGTGGGCCTTCTGATGCATCTGACCGCTTAGTCAGTTCACCCCTTAGAGCGTATTCTGTCGGTGCAAGCATATGATCCGCATCTTAAATACATGCGTTAAACGGTGCATTTAGCGCGTTAAAGCGCTTGTCTTAATCTCGATTTCTTTCTCTTTCCATTTATTAGTGACACGTTTAGCAAGAATCTTTATTTTTCACAATATGATATTTCTAAAGCTTAGTTTCCTCGTTACATTCGATCCGAGAGAAGATAATCGGCGCAAGAGCAATGTTATATCGTGACACATGATGATAAATTGTTTCGAGAATAGCTTTTACACTTCCATCGACAGTGTACGATCCAAGGTTCATCCGGATCTTCGTAGAGATCGCCGTAAGACGCCGCGATCCAGCGTGCGAAACGCAACACGTGCTCCGCTCCTCGGACATTGCAAACGCAACAAGACTGACGATGTGTTCCGCAGAGGAGCGGATGCATCCGCTGCGTTTTCCGCACGTGACGCATAATAATTTAATTGCGCCGTAGCAGGCGCCTTTCAGGAATCGTGCCGTAGGCACGATAGTGTAATATAATTAATTAATTATTAATATATTAATTATATATATGCTTTAATTATTAATATATTAGTGTAATATATTAATAATTGAAGCAACGGTTAAGGCGTGATACTTTGGTATGGGCATAATTAAAACTTAATCAGACCGAACGAGTTAGCGCTATTACGCACTAACAAAGAATCTAATACAATTTTGTGACGCTCAATAAATTTGGCGAAATTAATCGGGGAGTCTGGATGTGCGAGATAATGCATACGACGAATCTCGAGAAAGCTCCCAAAAATTCATAAATCATTAAACCTTTAAAGGTCTGAAAACCTAGTAAAATAGTACAGGGAAAAATTCTCGGGAAAAAGGAAAGTTTTTATTTTCTTCGGGATTCGTCGCTCGTTACTTCTTTGCGTCCGAATCTCTGCTTTGTCCACGATGTATCTGTAAGTACTTGTGTATTGTATTTTACGTTTGATCGAGAATGACGGAGTAGTGTCATCTCGACGAAAGAGCTCTGCGTGACGTTATGCAATTATCGATGAGTTTGTTTAATGAAAATTGTAATCTGAGTATGCATATTTCGATTAGTTTTTGATGCTGAATATGAAAAGAAAAATTGAGATTTATATTTATAATTGTGTCTCTTTACACATATATTTAACATATCATATATAATTTATGAATTATAATTTAAAAACAAATTATACTTTTTTTATCCGACAAAAGTTAAATACTCGTGGCTGATATCGTTGAATATTTCTCATCGATCTTTGTGTAACGTCGAGACAATTAAACGCAGTGTCCAGCGACGATGAGACTACAATCGTGACGTTTCCTGCAGGAAGTACCTATATTTCTTTAACGATAATAAAGTAAATATTAATATTATTAACTTATGGAATACTATAATATTGAGTGATTTGAAGTATACACACTCGCCGCGGATGCGTTTCGCGGCGAACGATACCCGGCAATTATGGTTCTGGGTGTAATCAGATTCGCGTAGAAATGAGAAAAAAATAAAAATAAATAAAGAGAAAAATATTATATAACACGAATCCGACTGTTGCGCGAGTTACGAGATCCAGTCTATATATGATAAATATAATTACGTCATAATTATCGCCATTTTTTTTGTTGGTGTTCGCAATTTCTTTATTTATCGTCTGATTCATCTTTTTGTCTATTCTTTTATGTATTCAATTCAAGCTCGTACGGAATGATATTATAACAAGTGAGAGTATATATATGGCGATGTGGAACGATTTAGAGTGCATTACTTGTTATAATAAAAAGAATCATGTGTTACTAATGTGCGTGTCTCGATTCTCAATGATTAGCCTATTGATCCGCCGGTGACTTTCGCTTCAATTTGTCAACTGGCGCTCGCGTATTTTACTGTCACAGAACTGAACACTTAATATACCGCTGACCGTAATAAGTGTTTGGTTTAGTCTGTATCCCTAAGTATGCCTAAAGCCCCACTCTAACTTCTTGCCTTTTTCTCTTTTTATCTGTTATTCCCTTTCACGAGATTCTGAATGCTCATTGTAACTACAGCTGGCTTAAGACATTCAAGCGTGGGCCAAAGTTGTACGAAGCTACTAATCGTGAATATAAAGTTAGAATTTTAGAATGAAAATTAAATCTCTATTTTTTACTCGTATTTTCACGAATAAAGAAGTAAGATTAAAATTTTTTATCAAATATTTTTAAAGTTACGTGAAAAGATTATATATTCTGTAGAGAATTATTAGGTTTAAAATTAAAATTATACAGATTACTCAATAATTTCAAAATATTAGGACTACGGTCCGCTCATCCAATGATTAAGGCAGCCTTTGCTTACATATATATGTAATCTTAGGAATTTCTCGATATAATAAATCTCGAAAGGTTTGCAAGGACTTCTCGGTGGGGACCATCTTGAGAACAGTTTGCTTATGTGGAGGCAAGATTTCGGAAGATAAAACACCTTTAACGGTGATGCCGAAATACCATTTTTTTCGACATAATGAGTCCTCGAATCTTTCCATTATCGCGGCTACTATGTGTCCTCCCCCTCCCCCTCTCTTCGGCCCTCTTTCCTACGGAAAATTGTGTTTGGAGTTCTTGCATGCGTTCATTGGAAAAACGAACCGATGTGATAACTGTCAACCCAGAATGACCCAAGTCCTAAAATCGAGGAAGTTGAAAAACATCACCCCCGTGATACAAAACGCGACCTCGACACCCCTTTTTATTAACTTCCTGCCTGCTGGTGTGCCAAACTGTACAGTCACAAGGAAGGACAGTCTTCGAGAACGACTACGGGCGCGTGGATGAAACAGGTAATGTCGAAATTTTAAGAATATAATTTTTAAATTTTAAGAGACTAACTTTTAACTATACGCTCTAACGCAAAACATGTCACACGAAATGCATTTAAAAAATGAGCTACTTGTAGGATAGCCATCCCAGACAGCACAAAACGTCCTCAGGATCATCCTGAATATGTCCAGGATGGTTCAGGATATTTGTAGGATGTTTTAAAATATTATTATAAATATATTTTATGAAAATTTAATATGCATACATGATTACTTTCGGTTATTTTCAAAGAGGTATTAAGATTCTGTGATATTCTTTTTGTTATGATGTGTTTCCACAATTTAGAATAGATGTAATATATAGAATATTTTTCCGTATATTTTTTATTCCTTATTACCTGCATATGATCCGTATAAATTTTAGGTTCAAGAAGGTTTATTGTAATACATTTGTATTACATACATAAATACACATGTATGTTCATTTTACAAAATTCTAGATATATAATCTCTCTTCACGATTAATCACACATTCACACCGCCGCACTAACGCATCACCGTCACCAGCGGCTTGCATCAATTAGCAGCTGCATCCCGTTCCGTAGTGAACGAGGCGCGTGGCTTGCCGTAGCTGAGCTAGCGAGAGTGCCTTAGCGTGTGGTGGAATAATCGATGTTACCCTCGTATGATTGCAGTGGCACCGTCAGTGACGCCGACAAAATAAAGACCGAATGGGCGTAGGGCGAATCTTGAGAAAGAGAGAGAGAGACACCTATAATCGGCCGCAGCCGAGAAATCTCGGCGACTCAGCACTCACACTACACTCTCGAGCTGCTCTCGAAGAGGGATCGGAGACGTCTTTTATAACAGAAAAAAAAATTCCCCCCGAGAATGCGAAACTAAAGCATCCCTCCTTCCCCCAACACACGCACCGCCACAAGCATCACATAAACGCGCGCACGCACTTGCCGCGTTTGCACGTTTGTCTGCATGACAATCGGACGTCCAGATCGATCTCCCGATCGAGAGATGACGGAAAAGAAGGAAGAGAACGAATGTACGACTAGCTTAGAATGATTAGAATATTGTCGCAGTATTTGTCCATCTTTAATTGATACTTTTATTCGTTTATTTGTTTATTACGTTGTACGCGCCAGTAGGTTTCTAATTATATCATGATTGTGATGATAAGAAAATAAGGATATTGATTTTACTCGAATCAAAACTCGTACACTTTATTTCATTTGTTACTATTGTATCATCGAAAGAAGAACGCATCGTCGAGACACAATAATTTTTTTTATCAAAAGGAACAGTTTTTTTATGCAAAACTGCAACGATTTTGTGACCTTTTCTTTTCGCAAGGATCCGTACATTCGTTCGTTTGAGCAAATCTCATCCGATTAATCCGAGGACCGATCGTTTCAGATCGCCGATGTCGAGAGGAGGATGCAGGAGCGCGCTATAAAATAGCCAGCCTTGCACACTACGAATCTTTTCCACTTTAGTTCTCCATTCTTTTTTTCTTTAGGTCACCGCCGCTCGTTAATAGTTCTCGTGTGTGTTATGTTGCAGTAAATGAGGTGGTCGTTGACAAGTGGTCCCATTAAATGAGTGGGTCGTCGACAGGCACGAATCCCTCACACTCCGTCGCCGCCGCCCCACCGAGCGCGCGCAAAAAAAGAGCAAGCTCAGCCCGAAAAAAAAGCACAGCCAAACGAACGAAATAATCGGCGCGCTTGCGTTTGCATCGCAGTAGAGCATCGCTATAATAACAAGAGAAACAGCAGCAGCAGCAACGTACTCGATAACCACTTAGCTACCTATCGCGACCTTCTTCAATTCGGGACTCTTCCCGATCAATCGCTGCATAGCCTCGACGCCGCTGCTTTCTTTTTCATTTCAATCTTCTTTTCTCCCTTTCCGCAAGATTGCTGTGCGAAAAATCGTTCGAGTCGAGTTCGTCGTCTCGCGGCGAAAGCGAAGCGAACGAACAGCTTGGGAAATTCTTCGTCTCTTTGATGTTTAGAGCGGCATTAACGTTCTTAACTCAACGACTGTGCCTTCTTAGAGCCGGTTGCATCAACGTTGACGCTAATCTTTTTTCTACACAGAGTGAACGTTGAAAATTTGTGGTTTACAAAGTACCGCGAAATTTTGAAGAAAAAAATTTGATCGGTTCTTTATTCTGAGTCGCACAGTTATTTTTGATATTAATATTTATATCACGCGATATATATTTTCTCCGAGAAAAACTGATGCCAATCGGAACTCGAAATATAATAAATAAAATAACTGAATTAATAGAGAGATTCTCTATTAATAAAAAATTATTACTCGATTCTTTATTATATGATATTCTTTCTTTTTGTTCGTGGCACTTTGTATTAGATAAAACGCGAGTGAAAGATTAGCTGACTTTAATCGTCGGTGCAACTCAGCCTTAGTTTCCTATCCGAGCGAGGAACGAGAATGTGATATAACTGATTGCGAGAAAGTAGAGGAGCGTTGCCTTGTACTTCTTTAACCCGTGACGCCCCGAAGATGTATTAACACATATAATGCAATCCTTAACGGTCACGTAATCCTTTCTTTTGTCCAAATAACTGTTAATCGATCATTTATAATCTTTCAATGAAATGATAACCCGATTTTCTTAAAATCTTATTAGTGTAGAGGATAGAATCGTGTTCGCTTTTCGTTATGCTTGCACTGATTTAATCAAATCTCATTTTCTTCTTCTCTATTTTTTTTAGATGCGCTTTTTTTCTCTCGCCACTTTGCGCTTGCTTTCACGTCACTTTATTGATGTGACGTTCTATCTTCTTCTTTTTTTACTTTTCTCTCTTCGTGTTTCACATTTTTCCTTTTTTTTTTTATTCCGTCTGTAATCTTTTTGATATGAAAATCTCGCTAGGCAGTACATTTCTTCCCTTAACAAACTCGGCGGTCGCGTGTCCTCGATTATACAAACAAATAAAGGGCAACAATCTACATTTTCAATCAAAGCTAATTGTATTAAAACAATCTTTGCCTCTTAATAACACATGTGCAAAGCCAGTTTTGTTCTGTTTTTAAAAATGAAAGATATAAATGTCATATTATTCTGACGTAATTAGTCGACTGTTATTTGATTATGAAGATTGCGAACTCTCCAGTACATCTTTTATAAAGGCGTGAATTGTCTCATCAAAAGAGATAATTTTTCTCCGAGGGAAACGAATGCGGCCACCCATTATCAGGAATCCTTTTCTCCCCTTCTTCCTTTAGCTTCCGAGACGCCGTGTCCCGATGAATAAGCGTTAGATTAGGTATTTAATCGCACACGCAGAGAGATTAGATACTCAATCTCTCCCCTGTCAGCCACGAACGACGGAATAATCCTTCGTAGCTTGAAACGTTCGGTTCGACGATGAGAAAAAGACCGTCACCCGTACCTGGAACGCTCAATGATGTCACAGTCCGTCCGCGCGCGCTCGCGTTTATCCAGCGAACAGTCGCGAGAGAGAAAAGAAGAGAGAATCTCAACAATCCTATTCAACAGAAAGAAAGAGAGAGAGGGAGAATCTCTATCCCATCGCGCGAAGAAATCTACTCGTATACCGTTCTGGATCTCCAAGGATCTTTCAAGGGATGCTGCAACGCGTCGCATCACTGCGTGCATTCGCGGTCATGTGACGCACGGTGAAGATGTTACACAGCCGGATGCTGGACAATAGGGGAAAACGTCGACCGGAAAAGCCGTTCGAACTTCTCGGAACGGATCGACGAGGGGATCGAGAGTGGTGACTCCGCGAAACGACACGGTTTCGAGCAGTGACGTAACTTTCGCGACTGGAGGCTGT